ATCAGCTTCTCCAGGATGAGTGTGTGAAGTTAACAGTGGAGTAAAGAGGCGTTTGACCTAAGACTACTGAAATCCAGGATATTTCATCTTTTTAAACAGCACTGTCTGCAGAGGGAGGAAAGGGGTAGCATTTAATGTCATCTTCTTTCCTGGTCATACAGATGCTGTTCAGAGAGAGACTGAAACATCAAGTTCAAGAGGAGAAATGCAACCGGTGCAACAAAAGGAATCAGGTGTGCCGGGCTGACAGTGGTGGTGAAATTGAGCATAGGCATAAGTGGGTTGTTTTTTTTGTAGTACTGGTATCAGTGTTTATTGTGTTCCTTTACTTTTTCTAATCCTGAAGGAGAATGTGTGCTAGCTTGAATAGTAACTGAACAGAGACCCTTATTCAGGAATGAGTTTTACTGTGAAGCAGACTGTCACACAAAAAAACTGGTTTATCAGGAATAATCTACATATTACAGTAAAAATATGCTGATCTCTGTCCCTGCTTAGTCCAGCACATGTAGATATGCTGGATCTTGGGTAGATAAGCCAGAGCCTGTAATAGCTGTAGTTTTTTCAGCTTAAGTGAAACTTGCCTGAGAGGTACTTTTGCCATCTTAGTCTCTGAACAAAATTATGAGCAAGTTGCAGTGTGACTTCCTAAGATGAAAGGACTGGCTGTTATATCACTAACAGTTGTGTGTGTGTTTTTTTTTTTCTTTTTTTGTAAAGATGCGTCTCGGATGAACACAGAAGAACAGCTCCGACGCCTGCAAGAGGAAAGGATGTGCAAAGTGTGCATGGACAGAGATGTGTCTGTTGTGTTTGTTCCTTGTGGCCACCTGGTAGCTTGTGGAGAATGTGCCCTCAATTTGAGATTGTGTCCTATCTGCAGAGCAGTCATACGAGGGAGCGTGAAGACTTTCATGTCCTGAGCCATGATGTGCCTAAGGGGAAAGATAAGTCTGTACAATTGATTCATAACACAGCAGAGGGAGAAAATAAGTAAATAGTTCGACTGATGCTGGAGCAATCTTACTTGCAGGGTAGCTTGGCATAAGTGCAAAAACTGACTAAATGTGCCTCCTATGCACAGTGTTTCTAGTAAGAGTTGCTGGTTTGCTGTACTTTTGCTGATCTTGCTGCAAGACTGCTCCAGAAAAACTCTGCTAGTTTCTTTTTGTCTTCCAAAAAGAGGCTTTTGTTGACAGAGATTCTCCATATTCTTACATTCTCAAATGAATCCCTGCTCTGTGTTGAAATCAAGGGCTGTTTTCAGTAGACTGTCTCTGGTTATTCTCTCATTTAGCAGTTGTTTAGAGATTATTCTGCTAGGGTTGATGGCTTCCTTAAAGAAGTCTGAGTCAAAATGGGAGTATTTTCATACAAAATTCATTCTGTTGAAACGAGAATACTCAGCAGCAATGTATTGTGGGGGAGGGAGAATCTAGCTTTCTTCTGAGCTCTTTGCTGTCTTTCTGCCCTACCCCCTTGCTGAATTTTCAACAATTGACAAAGTGTTTCAGTAATACTCAAATCCATGTAACTAAGTGAAAAGCCTGGCCTGAGCTACACTCTCCAACCTCTTTACTCTCAGCTCACAATCTTCCTCCCTAGAAAGAAGGCAAAATGCTCTTTGGTCTGGATCACTAGGTGATATCCTGAAAGCTTCTTACAGAGCCTCTTCCCTGGCCATTGGATACTGTCCTACTAGAAGATAACTAAAGAAACTTACCTTTTTTAGACTTCTATTTGCTGGCTAAACTGATGATTCTTATTTTAAATGGAACATTTTACCATGCAGCCAAAAAGAGTAACTTTTGCCAATACTATAGCTTGTTAACTGCAGGGGAAAGGAAATACATTTTTTTAAAAATTAACTGTTCTTTTTCACTGAATAAAAAGTTTTTCTTTTGTTTATCTTACACAGGTCTGAGTATCTGATTCTAGTACAATGCCCTACTGGGGGAGGGTGTGTGGTGGTGTCCTGAGATGTTACTGCAGCATCAGGTCGTAGATCACTTTACCTTTTATCCCTCAGTACTACATGAGCATGAGTGAAAGAAGCAACTGTTCTTACCATCCATTAGCTTCCTTTGGAATTCACAAAGCAACATGTGGGTCTTCCAGGCTTTCTTAACTGCAAAAGAAGGACTAAGGATGCAGGAGCATAAGGACTCAATACATGAAGCTGTGTAAGTGGGAAATAATTCTGCGTCTGAACTCAATGGCAGAGTTTTGGCACATGGCTCTTAAACACATCTGCAGAGACTGGAGCACTGGCTCTGGAGTTGCTTCTGTTTGGTTCCAGCCCTGGATACTGAACAAGGTTATAGGCCTGTCTCTGAGTAACTTAAGGTATTAGTTATCCCTGGGCCATGTGAGAGGGTAAATCTCTTCATCCTTGCCTTCAGAAGAAGGTAATATTAATGCAGAAGATGAGAGAAATTACTAGTTGAGCAGGTTAAACTCTCCAACTCTTGGAGGAATTGGTGGGTCTTTGCCAGATAGCAGCTTTCACAGGGAACAGAATTGCATCACCATGCCAAATCAGGTGTTGTGTCTGGGTTCAAGTGTTGGAATAGTGTTATTTCCTCCTAAACGTCAGCTTAGTGTGGCTGGAACCTAGCCTGAGCATCAACAGGACCACAAGGCTGTAAATATATGACCTATTTCTCGGACCTCTTTTACTTAACACTTTGAAAACTGTGGCTTTTCCCCATCTGGAAGGGTGGAGCTGTTTCTTCCATGGAAGATGTGCCTTCAGAAACAGGTACACGTTGTTTTTTGGCTAGCAGCATCTCAAGCGAGGCCTGTCCCCAATAGAGGGCACTCCGAACCCAGCGATAAGGGCACCCACTGGAGCAAAACCTTCAGCTGCTCCTCACTCCCGCTCGACGCTGGAGATGGAAACGACTGGGAGACCCTACCCTAACAGAACAGGGTACTTAGAGCAGGTCTAACTCGAGCAGGCCAGGAGGAAGGGTTGTCAGAGGGATGAGGGATGAATGGCTCTGCTAATGAAAACTAGAGGAGGTAATTAAGTGTGGAATACAATCCTCAGTAGCTTATCTTATTTTCTTTCTTCTCAGATCGATATTTTTTTTTTGAATGATTTATGGCAGACACCGATACTAAATATTACAGGCTCACCAGAACCTTTATTTTACTTCTATTAAAAGATACTTAATTAGCTGTGTTCAACATAACATAGGGTGGTAGTTATGAAGCTACAGTCATCTCATTTTTATTTATTTAATCACTCTTTACCAGTGTGTATTAAAGTCAGGAGGCATGCAGCTAGGTGCATAGTTTGATGCTCATCTTTAGAGTACTTGGCAAGTGGGTTTTGCTTGGTTTTATTAGCAAATGTGGTGTCAAGGTTTCGTCAGTGTGAGGTATAGTGTTAAACACGCAGACCTCAAAATAAGTCAGATCCTTCTGACTTCATACTACCATCTAGAAGAATTCCTTCCTGAAAATCCTGGTGAAATATTTCAGCTGTTCAAAGCTGAAACTGCTTTCTCCACCATCTGTGCTGAATTTTGGTAGCTTTCAAACAAGGCCAATAAAGAATGCTCGTATCTGACAGACGTTTCTTTCTGAGGAAAAGAAATCTTATTAAACCAAAAGTGTAAAGTCAGTGTTTTCTGATGAGGAAAGGGATGACTCATTTCCAAAGCCTTGAATGAAATCTTTCATGGAACAATCTCATTGACTAGAGGATGTGTTCTTCCATTCCTTTTTCTGCCCCTTCAGGGAATGTCAGGTGGGCAAGTAGGAATGAGTATAATACAGAAACGAACTGAGTCAAAGAAGAGGTGGAGAAAGTGCCAAGAGATTGTGTGTCCACACTGCTACACATGCTGTCTAAATGGTGGAGTAGCTTGTGTTCTGCTGTGGTATTTTTTTAACTTGGCAGTGGCACAGCACTGACTAATATGGGAGGTAGAGCTGTTTTAAAGAGGATTGAACTTTTTCTTCCTCAAATGATGAAACTAATACCAAACCAGAACTTGTCTGTTTCGCTCAGTCAGAAGCTGTGGCTTCTACTGGCTAAAAGAAAGAAAAATACCTATAGAAGGCAACGTTTTTACTTGCAGCTGCACCTGATCAGAACTGAGGATGTTAAGTTGCAGTGGGTATGTGGAATGGAAGTTGCAGAAACAAAAAATGTTCTCTTAGTGCTTATACTTTTGGGTTTACAGAAGAGGATTTTGCTTCCTGGGCCCTTTGGAATGGGATAAAGAAAGGCACATCATTCTGTCTTTGACTTAGCACTTAATGGTTTTATTTCTTTTAATTCTTCTCTCACGCTTCCCCTCCCTAGCATGGCTTCTGGCTTGAGTCTTCTGAAAAGCGTTACTCAAAAATCCCAAGTAATCTCAAACAGATTAGGCAAAACAATGAAGAATTACAACAGCACGTGGAACGTACCAGCCAAAGAATGCCACGAGTGGCTGACACACGCTCTGTCTCTGCTTGACACCCAACATGCTGGGTGATGTAGCCAACAAAACTGACTTTGTTGTTTGTTTTTTAATTAATTGCTGCAGCTCATTAATGCAACTTAGTTACACTTACATTTCCCTTTCCTTCAGCCCATTCCCTCCCCTCCAAAATTATCCTGCCACAAAAATACTCCTTTCATCAGGATGTTGCTGAGCTTGTACCTGAAATAAGCACAACTGCTCGGTGGAGGTGGCAGGTACAAAACCATCTGTGATCCATGAAGAACTAGGCATTTTCCAGTGTCCTGCAGCAGGCTTCATCTGTGTATATGGCTACACCAGAGTTAATTTAATGTAGATGGGCTAGCCCAGAGTAAGCTACAGCTGCTCTGAGAATGGCTCGCCATGCTGAGTAAAGATGTGGTGCTTGTACTAGTTTTTTTTAGCTGTTCAGCGTTACAGGAGTTAGGTGACAGAATACTGAAATCCAGGACAAATGCCTCCTGCTAAGGTGCTGACCATATCTAAAGAATAGAGAATGAGGGAGTCCTGGATGGATGGGGGGAAGAAGGGAAGAGGTCTCATCTATAACTTAAAAAAATGAACAAACAAAAAAACCCTAAATAACTCAAATGTAAATAGCCCCCACCTAGTTCTATACAGGCAGGAAGGAGATGAAGTTGTGTTAGGGGTTTTAGGCTCTTTTCAGCACAAGGGAAAGGAGAAGGGGAAGAAGCTAACTACAAAACACATGAAATGTCCCAGGGTGTTACACAGTGCTTCCGTCTTTATGGATCCATGGCACAAGGAAGCAGCTCCGACTTCAACTGTATCTCTTGAGAGAGGCTCTTGGTGAACTTGTTCTGCCTGAGGTCTTCAGGCCAGTGCCATTTATTGGCTAATACCACCAGACCGTGGTAGGAATGGTTCATCAGGGCACTTGGAGAATTAAAAACCAACTGCATGGCCGTTCTTCAATGTACATTCATTGGATTTGAAAAGAAGACAAGGAACAAAAAATGGAATGGAGTTCACCATCCTGTGTTTCCTCTGCCAAAGATCCAGGCCACAGGGGATTGTTTCCTGCAGCACCTTTGATGGTGGAGTTCAAGGTTTATCCATCTTCTGGCTCCTCTTTATTTACGCAGGCCTGTGGGGGGAAAAAAAGTGAAGGCAGGGCATCAATGTGGAGCAAGGAGTAAGCTGCTTCCTTCAGATAACAGAAATGATGTGGGAATAATGAGGACAAAATTGGTTGGTGGTTGGTTTTGTGGTTTGTTTGGTTGTGTTTTTTTTTCCCTGTTCTGGGTTTTTAAATATGATTGACTACAGATGAGGAATAGGATTGAAAGCTCAGCAGTAATGTGGTTAAGTAGTCTTCAAGTCTGGAAAGAATTGTATGGATACACCAGACCTGAATATACTGCAGTTAGACTAAGGAATAGATATCAGCCAGTGTTAGATCTACATATCCTCAGCGTTTGGAGCTGCATAAGACTTGGTTAGGAATTTTAAAAGCTAGGGATCATCTCTAGAATAAAGTAGCTTCTTGACATCGCGGCGATGTGCTTTTTGTGTAGATGCAGCAGTATAAGCAGATCTACTTTTGTAGCCAGCAGTAAAGATGAGTGAATGTTTTCAGCTGAAATATCACCTCTCAAATATGCAGCTTCAGGTTGATCAAAACAGTTTGTAAATTCATGTTGATATTCAGCAAATTGTGTGGGGAAAAAGTCTACCTAGAAAGAAAAGCAGAAACATTTTGTTTTGGGCTTTTTCTCTCCTCAAAACAAAGTGGTGTGGTGTGTTTGTTGGTTGTTTTGTTTTTTTTTTCTTTTCCTGGTTAAGTAGAAGTTTCCTTTGTAAAGTATTCTGGTCATCAAACAAAGTTTGGAGGGGGTGGAGGGAAATGAATCCTAAAGGAGTTCCCTCCCCCCTCTCTCCCCCAGTCTTTCAGTCTGTATTTTGATTTTTTTTTTTTTTAACTGAAGAATGTTATTTGTGTCCTTGTACCTGCCAGTTGATCTACTGAAGAACCTACTTTCAGCCTGTAAGTGGATGACTCTTACATGAATGCTCACAGCTGCTTCATGCCTATGGCCAGCAGACAGACTGCACCACAATAGAATTGATTAGGGAGGATTAAAGTGAGCAATCACCACCTGGAGCCTTAGACCTTTCAATTAACCAATACTTCCTGTTGCTGCCCTGTCAATACCCAAGTCTACATCTGATAAAAGTCACACCCTATGTTACCTTACAGCCAGTTCCACTGGTAGACTTGAGGAAAGTAGTCAGTGACATCTGCCTACGCAACTAGAATCAAATTAAAGCTCTTAAGCCATTAATGTAAGGTAGTACTTGGGGTGCCAGATCACGGTGAGTGTTATGGACAGGAGCTTCACAACTGTGCAATTCACTGCTTGGCCTTATAAATAAAGCCTTAAAAGGCAGGGAGATTTATTGCCCATCTCTCTACCTTTTAAATAAATAGAGGCTACATCCTGTCATCTGGTGAGTTCTTGTCTGAGTACTAAATCGAGTACAAAATCATACTTTGAGGCTCTTCTGCCTTATAATTGAGACTGCACAGTGCTTCTTTTGACATCATTCTCTGAATTTGTTTCAGAAAGACTGAATGGATGGGCAGGCAGGAAGGGCTGACAAATGATCATGATGATCTGGGCCTCCTGCTGTCTTGGCAGGTATTGCAGGGGCTTGGAGATAAGGGCTTTAATCAGAAACTTCAAGCTGTCTTGGTTAACCCTTCCAGAGTTATCAATGCTTCCTTGCCTCAAATGATGAGAATTCTGTTACTACAAATGAACAAGAAGAAAAGCAACCTGGAGCTGATGTCCTGTCCTGTGCAGCCTAAGAGGAGACAGTGGTGCAAGCAAGCATAACCTGAATTTGAACTTTAGCTATGGAAGAGTAAGGGCTTGGCCTTTCCTTCCTGAAAACTTGTTGGAAATGTTCTCTTTTGGCCTCAGGAGAATAACTTCAGTTTTCAGTAAGTGACTACTTACCCTTTGGCTAAGTACTTTGACCCAGAAACTCATGCACTAAACATTTTAACATAACTTCTGTCAAGATTCCTAATATATTATCATTAAATAATTAGTGCAGTAATCAGTAGTGAGACTAAGGGTAATTCCATTACACCGTCAAACTTCTAGAACAATTTTTTTCTTGATAATTTGAGTCTCTCTTACTTAAGCTTGTGACTTGAAATAGGAACTATCACACCCCCAAAAGCCCCTAGAGTCAATAAAATGTAGAACAGAAGCAGTTGCGGAACCTGAAATAGAAATAACTGTATTTACAGAACATCATTGTTGCTCTGTGAGTGCTGGAGGTGCTGAGATGAAGCACACTTAGATCAGGCCTTTGTAAGCAGCAGTACAAAACTGTTGGTTGATTTTTATTTTTTTTTTTTTGGGGGGGGAGGGGGAGTGTTCTTTTTTTTTTAAAAGAAAAATAACAGCTGGCTTGATCATTTGCGAGGTTTTCCACTAACTGGAGACTTGCAACTGATGTCAAGGAGGTCAGTAGATTACCATGATAAATCTGGGAGATAACTGGATTGTGGTCTGGAAGCACCTATTATCAGTAATAGCTTGGGGAGATGTTTTTTTCCTCCTAGTAGGAGGCAAAGGTATTTAAGAACTCTTTTCAGTGCAGTGAGTGGAAGCTGAAGGCCAGAAATGGGGTGTATGTTTTGAACACTGAATTTAGCAGCTGATAACCACTGAAGTGGGCTGCCAAGGCACAGAGCAGTCTCCCTTTAATATCTTCGAGCTGTGACAGCATATTTAAAAGTTAAGTATCTCATGGCCTGCGTGCTTGATACAGAGGTCATGGGGTTGGTCTTGAACTTCAGCTATGCTCATCGGTCTAGGTCAATGTCATTGTTCTGTGGGGCCTTCAGATCTATGAAAATTCACAAATTTGTTTGGAGAGATGAAAAAGAGAGACTAGGGGAAATTGCAAGCCAGAACAAGGGAAAGGGTGCATTGGGAGGAAAGGAAGGAGTGCAATCTCATCAGAAAAGGACAGATAAAACTGGAGTGAACAGGATAATTCCATTAGGGAATGAAGGAAAGTGATCCTGTTAGTTGTGGCAACAGGGCAAGTGCATTATCAGGAGAGCAGCTGACTACTGACAATGGGGTGATGCCATCCTAAAATTAAAGCTCATGGTTGCAGTTAGCTCCAAGTCAGTAGTTGTAGAATGGATTTGGTTTCATTATTTCCTTCAAAAAAAGGAGCTAAAACTAGAAAGCCCATGTTCCTGACCCCTAGCTGTTCTGTAAATTTAAACTTGAAAGAAGTTGGATGTATTTGTTGTTTTGCTTCTTCTTGAACAGGATATAAAAACAGAAAATGCCTTCAGTCATCATGAAATGATTTTCACTGCAGGACAAGGGCACCTGGCACTCAGTGCCTTGGACTGCAAAACTCCACAGCATCATTAGTTGAGAATCAAGTGTCCGTTCCTCCTCTCACTCCCATTCATACATGTGGAAGAAAGGCAAGAGCTAGGCTGAAATAAATAAACAAAAATTGCAATTTGGTGGCTGCTGGGAAATTTATAGAGAGTCACCTTATCTACTGCTCAGCAGCTGTTTTCACCTCCTGTTAGCCAGAAAGAAATATTGTATCATGCTGCAGAAGCTATCAGTAGATAAGTGATGGTCTGAAGAACAAAATAATTATCTGTGTACTTCATTAGTAGCTTACCACCTCACTGAGACCCTTCTAAGGAAGTTTTACGTTGCTAGCTTCTGTTCATATTACAGTCCCCCCACATAGAAAACTTCATTTGCAAGTACTAGCCGCTTTCACAAACAGAATTTGTCATTTTAAGAAAAATGCAGTGCAAACCCCATAACTGTAGAAGTGTGATGTGTCTTCAGCACACTGCTGCATCAAGCTAGTACATCAGGGAGCTGCTTAAAGCTCCAGAGCTTCTGCAGACTATGGAAAATTCCATCCCACTGTGATAAAATGAGAGGGAAATCAATATTTAATCTCTTGTAGCATCCCTTCTAATAATGCTATAGAACCCCGAAAGTTACAGGGAATTTAACTGCTTTGCAAAAATTACTTGTTCTCCTGGTCTTGTGTTGCAGTGACAAAGGGGGTAGTAAGTCCATACTATATTAGAGGGGCACATCCACAAATTCATTTGGGGGCAGTTTTTCTTCACTCAGTCCCACTTTTCTCCCCCCTCTTCACATCCTTCTTTTTGGCAAGACTCTCTGGTAACATTATTCCTAAAAATAAAACAACCTCCCTTAGCAGCTGCTTTAAAAAATTTCTGCCCATTGAACTGCCTTCTTGCAGCTTGACTTTTGAGTATCAAAAATTCTGATCTTACTGCTGCTTTAAACAGATAATACCAACTTTTATATCTGAGAGTCTCATTAAGAACCAGCTTTTAAGTGGACTGCATGAAAGTGTCATCTTGTGCCCTCAGCAGCGGGGAGGGATTAGCAGAGGGCAGAAGCTGGAATTCAACAACGGATCTCTATTAGTGGTATGAGAGGAACTGCTGTGGACAACTCTTCTTTCTGCTTCCCTGCTCTCAGCTGAGCTCTCGGGATGCAAGAGAGCAATACAGCATATTGCTCTCGTTGTAGGCAACAGAATTAAAAAAAAATAAATGCAACCTTAAGAGCAAACCTGAGCCACCCTGAATACAAACCATCTAATGCTTGGTTTCATTTCCTTCACTGGCATGTCAGCTTTGTACCCTACAGGTTCCCCTGGAAGTACAAGCCAGATACAGGGAGACCCTGTACCCAGATAGAGTCAAATTTTGTGGTGCTACCACAAGATTATTATCAGAGGATGACAAAGTCATAGTCAGTGATCAAAACTGCATGGATGTATAGCTCAGAGTTCAGTTATGACTGTCCATCCACAGAGCTAAAATACAGCTTAAATAACTAGATGCTGCACAAATTTTACCCCAGTAGAGATGTGTCACTGAGGCTCTGCCTGGCAGACCACAGTTCAACCTTGAGATTGAGACTCATCCTGCTATTGCTATGGCTTACTCCCAGCATCCACTAAGGCTGACTCTTCCTTCCCCACAGCTCCTACCTTTACCTGCTTGGGCACCATTTGCTGCTGAGAAGCCTCTCTTAGCTTTCTTCAAGGAAAAGGCACCCAGTAGTTTGTTTCAGTAACATCCTCGAGCTAGTCCCACCACTTCCTATCAAACAGCGCTGCCATAAGCCAAGTGTGGCAACACCAGCTTCACCCTGGCAACCTAGGGCTAAGCAGAGGCAGTTTCACCCCTTCTGCTGTCCACTTGTTCATTCTTTCCATGCCTGGAAAGCCTGCTGGAGAAATCAACCTGCAAGGAGGAAAAAACCCAAACCTGTGGCACCCTTGAGCCACCTAAACTGAGAGGTGTGCAGAGCCTCTCAGCACAGGAGATGATACTTACAGGTATGTCTGCTTGAACAAAAGGTTGGTGGGTTTTTCATTGACATGGTAGAGAGGAAATGGATCAAATCCACCAATGAAATCAACTGAAAAAAAATCAAAACTCAAATAAATAAACAAACATGGCCAGAAAGTTGAAAGGAAATGAAAGAGAAAGTTGGTGCGTGTCATGGCATAACACAAAAACTAGCGAGAGAACAGAAAAATGATTTTTCAGGTATGGAGTGCCCAGTGGAAATCTCTGCCTGTACAGACCTCTATTCCAGGATCTCCTCGGACGGGCAAGTGTGCCAAGGAGGAGATTCAGCTGGCACAAGACTTAAAGCAGAGAGCTAACAAAAGACTCCAGAAAAACAAGAGGACCTTCCTCGGCCTCCTTGGATGTTGCCACCACGCTGTGACTTCACGTGAGAACTGAGCTGACAAAGCCTCGGCCATTCAGCCATGCCCTGAAAGAAGGAAGCTGGGCAATGGCTCGTGAGTGAATGCCAGCGGAGAAGTTGGCAGCACAGCAATCACCATGAAGGCTATATAGTGAAGTGGGAATTTTCTTGCCCCGCTTGTCTTCCCTGCAAGACAGACGACAGCAGCTTTGGAAAACTGCAAATACCTCATTATCTTCAGCTCTGATATTTTTCACGTCCCCTCTGCCAACTCAATTTCTTTTAATTGTACACAAAGAGGAACAATGCTTCCTTTCTCCAGCGTTCACAGAAGGGCAACGTAACTAAACAAGGAAAGTTTCAAGTGACAATTCCCTTAGTAACCAGAGAAGAATTTTCCAAGTCTCTCTTAGTTCCCCTGAAATTAGGCCAAATCTATATTCCTGAGCGGGCCAACACAGCCGGGTCAGCAGGGGTATGATGGGGTGTGATTTGTGACTGACCTAGCAAAAACCTTTTCAATAGATCCAGCTTAGACCACTTTTTGGTGCCAAGTTAGTGCATTTTGTTTGGAAGTGTGAAAGCTATCCGGTCCAAATGCCATTTAAAAAATAAGTGGAGAGCCTTGTTAACTATATAAATGCCTGTTCATTTTTCTTTCCTGAAGGTGGCACTATTATTTTAAATTTTAGCTAAAGAGTTTTGGTATTTTTTAGTGAACAAACAATAGAAAAAAATATTTGCTAAATATATTGGAAGTGAAAAAACTCTTGTATTTAGAAACCCAAGGATAACATATTCTCACAAATTCCATCTTGATGGATAGCTTCATGCTGATACTGTGATTTTGGAACAACTGTCAGTTAATGAGCAAAATCTGTAGAGGTTCTAAGTTAATTGAGGGGATAATTCCCAGTAGTTCCAGTGAGACTTGACCTTTTCTCTACCACTTTTGCAAATGTTTTGAGTATTTTAAAATCAAGACAGTCTACAGTTTTAAAGCACAGATACTAACTATATTACCTCAGTTGTGGAATGTCTAAATTAGGAAACCTTAAAGAATTTCAATTTTCAGTAACCGTCTAGTACCTCGATCACACAAAAGTCCTATCATCTGAGCACCCAACAATGGAAGCACTCAAAATCCAAGTCACTTAAAAAAAAAATCTTAACTGTGGTTCACTGTTGCAATAAATTACAGTGTATTAGCACATCTAAAATATTCTTGCCCACAATTCAGCATTAGCAGATCCCTACTGCTGTGTTTTCTCATGAAAATCACGTTAGCATGAGCTTCCTGATTAATGTGCCTCAGCACTTATAATTACTTCATGCTGCATATCAAAGCAACATTTAAAGGAAACCACAAATGGAAGAGAAAATTAAAACGCAGCTCAAATTTGTTCGGGTCACTGGAAGGATCCACCACTGTGAGTGTGAAATATTGATAGTTTGTCACTGTTAATTATTCAAGCTGGCATTTTAACTCCAAGCTGGGAAACTGGGAGGGAAAAGGAATTTGTCAGTGGAAAAAAAAACCCAAACATATTCTGAAATTAACAGCTCTGCGTTTCTAGATAATGCTTCCTTCCGTGTGGTTGCCTCTCTTAACACATCCCAACTATAAAAATGAGCTCTGTCAAGTTATTACTTTTCAATATTCAAAAGGGGCTCAGAACTTAAGCTATTTAGCTAATAGAAGAGCTATAGAGTAATTTTTACAATATCACTTATGATGTAGCACTTCCGCTAAGTGCACTGCCAAGCTCCAAACAAACGATCAATACTGTCGGTGGAATGAGTTCAGCCACACAGGAAGCAACAGAACAACACGAGGACAAGTCAAATGAGCAATGAGGCTCATCTCACTCCTGTGAAATCAACATTCTTCACGTACTTTCAAATATTCAGTTCAAAGCTGTTGTTTTTCTGCTAAAATCCATGCCAGCTGCTCTTTAAAACAACAAAGCTACTTGCACAAACCTAATGAATGTACTAAAGAAGATACCTGGATATCTGAGCCTTTGGATCAGATCCTTACCTGGGGTAAACTGGCCTAGACCCATCGATTTCAGCAAGACTTTACTGATTCAAACGTGCTGAGAATTCAAACACAGAAGGGCAACACATTGCCAAAGAAATCAGACTTCACATTTGTTTGAACCCTACGTATCTGTTCTTTTGTTTGCAAAATTATTGCTCTCAAAGGGAGTTTTAGAAGGGCAAAGTAATCCAAGATCAGGTTATGGATATCTGGATAGATCCCACAGACCCAACCACCCGACTCCTCTGAGTCTTTGCTCTTCTCTGACACACGTCATGACACTTAAGATATTTGAATACCAAACACAAGGGAGTCACCTCCTTCCTCCTTGTAATTCAGATACAGTGCTTCCTCTGCTTTTAAATTAAGTGGTCAGGTTGGTTCTTGGCAAGAAATCTCATGCTCTGCTTCATCCTCGGCTTGTGGCATATGATACTCAGCAGGTGGCCTACTTGAGCACGGGGCTGTGCTCTTTGTTGTAGGTACTCCTAATTACAATGGTGATATTTCAGTGGCATTAAGACATATAAGCTTGAGAACAGAAGAAGCTGCCTGGTTTCTCTAAAGCCTAGCCTGAGTTAGTGGCCAACACCAAGCTTTTTTTGGGCTGGAAGAGTAGCAGAATTACAGCATTCAAGACATGGTGATATGGGGGAAAAAACCTCACAGTAAAAATAGCTGATCCTTGAAAGGTAGGTAGTGCTGCATCACATAGATGGAGAGATGGAAAGAAGTCTGATGGCAACTCAGTCCTCACAGACAAACATCTGAGAAAGAAATGAAATTTAATAAAACTTTTGCCAAGGGATCTGTTGATAAATACTTACAGCTGTCTTCTTCTTCTGTAAAAACACTAACAACGTAACAGGCGTAGACAAATCCCACCAGCTGGAAAACAGAGAGAATAAATCATTTTAGCATCAATCTTGAGAGACTGGTCAAAACCCATTTGGCACAACTTCAACAGCCAACATTTACTGTCAACTTGGCAGCATTACTGTAACAGTGGAGCCAAGTCACGTTTGCTGTAAGGTAGAGGGTGCAGGTGTAGGCTTAAGGGAAGACACTACTAGGAGCGTACTCAAAGGTCCAAAGTGAAAACTTGCAAGACCCATCCTCATCTTCAGAGTAGGAGCCTGCTGGTGCTAGAATGACTGGCAAGAACACTGGCTCGCTTTGTTGATACTGAAACTGCCACGCTGAGTTTACGCTCTGTAAAAACGGGTGAGGGTGCAGCAGAGTGCCTTAAGTAACAGACACACGGACATACAGGGGTAGGTTTTATTAGCAGAGGTCCAGGGACAAGAACTCATTAGCTCTGTATTGCTGCCGTAAGGGGTATGCAAAGGAAAAGAAATTCCTTTGGTGCAGGAGCTACCAACAAGATGTGGGTAGTTTTTACGCAAATGAGAGAGAAACTTAGTTAACCATCAAAATAGTGAGGCACTGGCAGCAATGTTCAGAGACACTGAAATCTTTAGTAACTTACGCTTGGAAATAAAAAATTAGCTCTACAATTTCTAAGGTTCTTCCTGTCTTTGGAGAATAAACACTTCTGTATGGACTAATCAAGCATTGGGCCTGAGTAGATGGGCCAGAGCATGGTGAGAAACAGACAGGACGATAGCAATGGTCCTAATTCACAAACTGCATAGGTTAGCAGTAAATTGCCACCTCCTGGGAACCAGAGAGAAGCAGGGAAGGAGCAGTAAAACAATGGGGTGCCTCTCAAATAACAGCCCTCCTGGCGTGGTGCAGCCCTCGTGTCAACCCCATTGCTCAGAGCAGTCTTTAGAGCAGAAAACTAGAGTGAACATTAAGAAAAGCAATTTAAAGTAGCCTGGTGGGTCTGTCCTTAGTGGTTTGTAGAAGCTCTAAAGCATCAGAACTGCCGCCTTCAGTTTCAGTAGCAAATTGTTACTCAGCCTGAATAGAGAAACAAACTTCTGGTACTAGGAGAGTTAAGCATTCTAGATCCAGCAGGGTTTTATTTTGCTTTGCCTTCTTCCTGTTGATCAATTATCCTCTCCATCCTTCATTTTACATCTTTACATAACACCCCACTTAGCAAGATCTTGGTTGACAGTAACTGTATTAGTAAAGTTATTGTGAGACATAATTGTTTTCCGCTGTGAACTCAAGTCTTTTGGACAAGAGTCAGGACGTAACACACAGTGACTCACTCTGAGGGAAGACAGAATGATGCATGGTAGGGCTGGAAAAGCAGAGTCCATTCATTTTTAATATGACAGAAAAATACATCACACCGGAAGACAAAAGGCAAGATAATGAGATTGCTGCTGGGGAGTTATAAGGCATTCGTGACTTCTCCAGCTCTCCCCAACAAAACGCACCTTGTTGGAAAGAAATGGAATGTTTTGTAGCATCACTAAACCTTGTATTTCCTTTACAATTTTCTATAATCATCTGAAAGACAAAGTCAGCTCTCTTCTTTCCTCTTGGGTGAGCCTTCAGGCAGCGTGTCCTGTGCCTTCGAGGAGGTGAGGCAGCTCCACGGACTCACCCATTCCCCTGCTGGGCATTTTTGAAACCAGGGCAGCTTCATACCAAGTTTCTATGAGCTACAGAGGACTTCATGCAGAAAAAAAAAAAAGTAAAATAAATCCTTCGGGGCATGATGGTAACCACATCATGCCAATGTAATGTCACCTGCTGACTTTTAGAATCGCCTCCGAGTAGAACTGTTGCTTTTTACAGCCAGACCAAAAAAAAAAAATCAGAATAATCAGAGATTTTCCTTTTCTTCTGTTCCTTGTACTGTACTAACAAAAAATCCGGGGATTTTTTTTTTTTTTTGTGAAGTTTGAGGCAGTTTTGGTGGCCGGCCGGAGGGCGGGAGCCCGGCCCGGGGAACTGGCCGTGGTGCTGACGCAGCCCCTGACGCAGCTCCCCGTTTCCTCGCGTCACCAGTAAGCTCGGCTGCGACGTCACCAATTAGCGCTCATCAGCTGGGCTGGGGGAGATAAGGACGGGAACATTTCTAGATGCTCTTGGGAAAAAAAGAGCGCTCCAGCTTAAAGCCGTCCCCGCATTCCACGAGGTGTCCAACCACCCCTCCGCACGCTCCGGTCTCCAATGTACGGGCGTTGGATCGAATTCGGAGTGCGATCACACACATTTTTGTACTTGCTCCAGCATTTTTATAGTTTGAAGATCCAGCCTTTTACATTTTATAAGGTCAAATCATGCAATTTATATACACGTAAACATCCAAGCAGGAAAGACGCATGTTGAATGCGTGCCCTGATTCCAAGGGGATTCTAGGAAGGTTTTCTCTTTCTCCAGGTTTTCCATCATGCCTCAGAGTAGGAACTTTGGGTCAACAGCCACGCAAAGCAGCAGCCCTAAAGCCATTCACTATGATTATACTCTGTAACACGTACACACAAACCCTACGTGAAATCTGTGTCAGAGAATTCCTGATAGTATTAACGATGAAAACACCCTACCTGCCCAGTTTGTGGGCAGAGTACACGAACAATTATCAGCCATGCTGTCACACAGAACCTGTTAAACCTCTGAAAATTGTTCACGGTTCAGAAGCACCAAGGAAGCAGTAAGATTGACCTGGGAAGTTTGTTTTGCACAGAAGTTAATGCCTCATAACCCTCAACCATCATTTCTCTCACCCCATACATTTTTAGCTTTTATGACTAAGGTGACCTTTTGCATTCAGAAAAAACCAAACCAATCAAAAGCTAGTGAATTAAGTGAACTCGAAATCTCTAATTCCAGCTCCATTGGAGTGGAGGGTTTTCTTTTTTATTTCTTCTCTCTCCTGCTTAGTGTTTAAAATTTACTTCTTTCTGACTTTATAATCCATTCCTTCTTTACAGGAGTTTCATTAATAAAAATTTGTTTATTTAATGGTACATTTTATTCAAAGAAGTTTTTATTCAAAGAAGTTTTGCCAGTCTCATGGCCTGGCCAGAACAGGGGAGTTTCAGTGGCAAGGAGAGAAGAGACATACAACATAAACATGAATTGCATTTTTATATGGGCTGATCTAAACTATAATTAAACATATCATCTCAAGGATGAAATGAACTCCTGGGACTCCCCATGTCTCACCCTCTACATGAGCTAGGAAATATAGCAGAGGAGAAATGCCATTCCTGTTGTCCAGTCCTTTTCACTGCAAGAGTCTGCTAGGATGTGAGAGATAAAGCAGACTCCAAGAGACACCAACTTCTCCCTTCTGACTACATCCTTGATGACAATGTATCAAGCCCTCAAACATCACCAATTTTAGCAGCAATTAACATAGGATAGAAAACTTCGCAGAGGCCAAGAGTTTGGAAGTAATTTCACTCTTGCTCAAAGTGTCATCTTGGTTGCTGATTCCAATACGAAAGACAGTTTTAAGCTCTAGTATTCCAGGGAAACAGCAATAATTCTTAGATCTTTTCAAATTATGTAGGGAAGCTGGAAGAGGAGAGAAATGCCAGTGATGTAAAATGACACTAAGCTATTGCTCTAATTCCCCAAAAAATGTTCTTGGGCTTTAGCCTCTGCTGCTGTTTCTCCACTTGTTCTGCATGTTCAGTACCAGCTTCCTCCAGGCTGCAGAAGTATCCGATTCAACTTTTGAGTGGGAACACATGTTGTAGGCAGGTGTGTTCAGTCAGCCTGTCAGACAGCCTGGGAACACACATGTTGCTGAACAAAAGAGGATGGAGCTGGGATGTCTCAAGCATTCTGCAGGGAAATGAACAGAGCAGGAAAGACAGGAAGAGACAAGTGTGCCCAAAGGGAAGGAGGAAAACACAAGTCTGTACATCCCTCTGCCTCTCAGTCACCTGAAGTTAACTTTTTAATAGTGAGTTGAAAAGTGTTCATAAAACAGCAGCGCTGAGCTGAAGTGCTGGAGCCAGAAAGACTGAATTACAGCAAGATCTACAGAAAGGGACTAGCTGGCTGCCAGTGTGCAAAATATGTGAAGGATGGGAAGGCAGATTTTAGGAGGTGATGCTGCTGTTTGTGTAAAATCTTAGCTTTATTCTACGCCTGTCCCAGTGAAGATTCTGAGCTCTTCAACTCTTCTCTCAGTAGAAAAAAATTGCCATTGGTTTTTCCACCACAGAATATGAGCAGAGTCTCCTCCTCCAGGGCAGATGTATTCTAGGTCTCACTTCTACTCAGAGCTAATGAAGCGTGTATGCTCGCGTCAGTGCGAGAGGGGGGAAAGGAAGAGATCTCTGCTACAAGAAAGCAAAAAGCCAGCTTGTGAAAGAGCTGATAGCCAAAAGGAGGCAATCAAAATCCTTTGGTTCCTTGACCTTCTTTACTCTTTGGATGCAATTACGACCACTGAAAATCTAGCTTCTGCCAACAGCAAAGCATCTCTTGCACATTGCTTCTCACATAACATCTGCTGTCAAGGCTTGCATCGCCGCCTTCCTGGGACCCTTCCAACCTGTCAGTCTGAGTGAAAACAGCAGACAGGCAGGCAATGAGTTCTCTCAGTCGGGAAGACATTTCCAATTTCCATCCCATTCAGTGGAGCCTCAGGAAAAGCCTAACCCTCCCCACTCCAGAACTACCATATGGACAGCCCAGGGCTATGCCAGGTATTTCAAAACCAGAAATCACTCCTCTCCCTGCCGGCTGGCAAGTTGGGGAAATGCAAGATGAATCCTTGCTAAGATAAAAACAAAGCAGATTTCTACTCTTAACAAAGTAGTTGCTGTTGCATTTCCTAATTGGGTAGGTAGGATTAGTTTTACAGTGATATTTCTATACCAGTACAGACTTGAAAATGTTTTTATAATTTTTCCTCCGAAGTCCTCTGTGCTAGAGCATTGAGAAAGCCTACAGCTACTTCTACCATGCGTGGTGACTGATATGCCCAAATTTGATCCCATTCCAGATTAAAGGAATTGCTTTAGCCTTCAAGGAGTACAGACAAGCTCTGAGCAAAAGCAGACTGAGACCTTATGTATCTTCAAATGTATGCCCAGGAGCAGGATAATACAGTCAGCAGGAGTCAAGATGACAGCAGCGCTGTGCTCACCATATGGGCTCAGGTTTGCTTTCCCTCTCCTTTGGCATGCGAGAGCGAATTCAGCAAGATGAACTCAGCCTTACCCCAGGTACTCAATATGGTGCTCTACAGTTCCTCAGCAGTCTCAACGAATTGGTATTTCCAGAAAACAACCAAAATGTGCACAGCTAGGTAATGCTTTAAGAACAGAGATTTCACACTACCATATCTGGAATGAAAAAAAAGCCCACAAACACAGAACCCCCACCTCACAACTTCTAGAAATCATTAAGCAAAGCAGAAAACCTACAGAAAGCACAATTTTGCCTCTCCCTTGCCCTTCTTAACAGGGAACTGACTATTCTGGCTTCAAATGTGCGGCAGACAAGGAGGGAACTCGGTCATGTCCCTCGCTGCATCCCCTGAGCCTCCAAGTTTAGTTGTGTTTTTTGTCCGATCGATCCAGGCTCCCCGCCTGCAGCACAGTACCTGCCAGGCGCTCTGGGAAGGGCAGCAGCCTGTAATAAAATCTGCCTTAAAATGAAACACGGAGAACAGAAAAAAAAGATACTGGCAGGGATCAAAGAGTTTGACCCTCAGAGACTAAAAAGGGAGAGAACTGGCTGACTGTTTGCAGGCAAGGTCTGAGTGAGGCAGTGAAAAGGCTTGTTTTCTGCCTTACCTCAGCAAAGCAGAAGGGAAAAGCTCTATTTCTCCCACTCCATGACAAAATTATATGAGCATTTCTGAGCTGGCAGGAGTTACAGGCGAGGGGCTTCACTGCTGTACCTTTATTACAGGACAAGTAGAAATTTAGTTCACTCTGCATACCTCAGCCCATATGGCTTTCATGCATACAAGTATTTTAGCCTCATTTCCAGGGTTTAGGATTCAAAATCCACTGCAACTTAAATCTCAGGGAGAAGGAAAGAGAAAAATATTTACCCAAATCCTGTTTTATCTTACAGTCCCCTCCTCTCTGTCCCCATCTGGCCCTTTGTGGTGTTTGCACACACGCAGAGAATATTGTCGTGTGCCTTTAGGAAGAAGCAAAGGAGAAAATATATACAGACTCCTGTATATCAGTGTGCCTAAGTTAATAAGCTGCCACAAAACAAAGGTCTATTCCAAACTCAGGACCACTTGGCAGAACCTCCAGCCCGGGGCGCAGCGGCTGTGCCAGCTCAGGCGCTTGGGAAGGATGCTAACAGTGACACGCTTCTGCACTTCAAAAGTCTGGGATGTTCTGACTTCAAAATCTGTCAATCGTTTCACCAAGCTCAGGAGCAGCTCCAGCTCAGCAGCATCAAGCCCGATCAATTCCACCTAACAGCTCTTTCTAAAAAGATAACAGGCTCTGTTCTTCTGGATACAGAGTTTTGCCTTGCTGATACACGTGTCCAAGCAACTCTCGGCTTCATGCAGATCATTTTCCCTCAAGGAGAACGAACCAAACACTAACAGCCAGCACACGGGCCGGGGAGTCCATCCAACTCAGGAAACAGGAGCTTCTCTGTCTGCCTCTTTTTTTTTTGTGACATGGCAAGAAAGGGTCTGAGCCTTCCCCACCCCCCTGCAGTTCACTGGGTCACACAGATCATCCCAGTTAATAGGAAACGCAGGATCAAGACAGTGGAAAGTTGTACCAAAAACGCGTAGAGAAGTACTTGGCACTCCAGAAGCCTGGAATTTCTGTATTTGTTATCCTTTAACATTTAATCAGGGCAAGTTATTCTGTTTCAAGCCAACACTGAAGGCTGAAATGTGAATGTTTCACCAGTCGATGTCCATTTGTACTTAAAGCAACAAAGCAAAGCAGATTAGAAAGAGGCGAGCTGCTAACTCTGGTGCAGCTACAAAATGCAAGAGTACTGACAAAGTAAGGGGGGCGATGGACATTTTGTTTCTGTTAATTTCACAGACAAGTGAGAAACAATTAACAGTGAACATTAAGGACGTTGAATTACTATAGAGTAATTAAAAAAGCCTGTGGAAGACTCCAATGAGGAAAGAGCTGATGAAAACATTTAATGTATGTATCTTAGGTGTCAGCAGAAAGAAAACATGCTGCTTTCTGCTTCCTTAAAGTTTCTTTCATTTCTGGAGATGAGAATCTTCTCCCTTTGAGTTCTTCACAACAAACATGCACATATGTGCTCTGCCACCCATCACTAAGTCATGTGGAATAAGAGAAATCCTTCAGAAGGGTCTCTGTCCTTGTCAAAACATGAGTTTCTACACCTCGATGGGGAAACAGAATGATTTGTTATTGTATGGTTGCATGTGATACATGCCTTCAGGTGTTAGGCTGCTGGTATCCATTTCCAATTCTTCCCAGCAATATTGTTCATAGGAGAGCAGGAGAACAAACAAAACAAAAAAACATTTACAGAGGCTTTTACAATCAGATGATACAAAATGGGGCGGAAAAATATGGGCCAGTCCCTGTGCCTGGAAGAAACCCAACCAGCATCTCCTCAAGGACCGCTGCCCCGCGGCGCTGGGTCAGGTACTCACCGCGATCAGGATCTGGAAGGAGCTGTGCATCACCTCGATGTACCGGTACTCCAGGGCACAGCCGATCACAGAGATGTAGGAATGGCTATCCAGCCCCTTGATGCCAGACATCGAAGCCTCCTTCCTTACACAGCCAGGACCATTTTCACTCCACCATGACTGGTGCCGGGAGATATTAAACGTCAGGAGTTCACTGTCCTAAAGAGGAAAGTTTCAGAGATCTCTATTTACAATAAGTGTTGGACATGCTGTCAGATGGAGGTCATGTTAAATCAATGGAAAACCTAAAGTTTCTGAGATCCCCACCCTCAAGAAATGTTAGCACAGATCAAAATACATTAGCCTTATATTCCTTATTAATAAAAGCGTTTCACAGGCAGGCTTCTGTGGTGGGAACCATTTCTGACGTAGTCCTGCAGCACTCCAACAAACCTATTTCACCATCACATACCATATTTTGGAAGCAGGTCTGAGCAGCAGAAAGACAGTTTCTAGGCTGCAGACCCAAGCACACTTTGTTAGTGGTTTCTGAACCCAGAAAAGAACCCTCAAGTTTTGGGTTTGGGAGATGAACCTTGCAAATCTAGAAGAAGAAAGGTAAACAAGGCAGCATTAAGCACCCTGTCACAGAATCATGCGTTATGGGTATGCTCTTCCCAGCACAGAGAACTGAGAAATATGAACTTCATAACCCCCAAGTGAGTTTCAAAACCCAACAGATCTTCCTCTGATCCTAGCTTTTAACACATCTAGCAAGTTCCCTTACCATTTCTGTCTGATTTCCTTCCACACTCTTCACATATGGTGCTTCTGCATCTCCTGTTGACCTGACACACTGTCAGCCTCAGGTCAGGTTACTCAGCTGAGCTGACCTCGAGCTGATGATTGCAGATTCTTGCTAACACTTCCCCAGCCATCCCTTATCACCTCTACCCCAAGACAGGGTTTTTGTTTTGCTTTTCTCATCTTTGCTAGTTCAATAATTTAAACGATGCCATTGTGGAGGTTACACAGCAAAACGCCACACAAGTAGTGCAGGAGTTTGGTGTGCAACCAGGTGCTCACTTAAAAATTACAACAATTTCCTCACACTTGAGAAAAGAGTGGTACTCACTGGAGCACCCCCAAGAGCTTTGGGATTTTGAGCTCACAGGACATAGCAAAGCTCTCCCAACAGACAGTAAAAGATAAACTCAGAACTGGTTGAATAGATCAGCTGCATGGTTTCACAGATAAGTGCTAAGTGGTGGGTGCCCCAGCAGCCCTCTCGGGTCACTTTGATGCAGAATCAACAACTCCTTTTGACCAGAAAACAGAGCTTGGAAGTTTTATTCTGAAGGATAGATTATAAAATGGATCAGGCAGAGAACATGTGTGTCTCTACAGGGTAGAAATAGGTACTGGACATACACACTCCACTGAATCATTACTAAAAGTTTTAGCACCTATCCGTGACACTGCTCATGCCAGGGTCCTGCACCGTCCCTGTGGGAAGGCAGTGATTCCTAGAACAGCAGCAGTCAGAGCTTGGGATGGTCACACTTCTGAACAGGCAAAACCTCACGTGGCAGCTCCTTTGCCTCAGCTCCCTGTAGAGCCAAGAGGGAAAATCACATTCAAAGCAGCTAATCCAGGCTCCTGCTCTGAATTACCCTCTGGAGAGGGGACTTGTCTCCCTGGCCAATACAGGGAGCCTAGCCAGGTAGTCCTGCAGATACTTCTCTGTGTCTGTGTTCGAATCCAGGGGCAAACCTGAGTTACAAGAGCAGAAAATTTGAAAGCCAGCCAGAAAACCTGCGACTAGGAACCAACTGCCTCACTACGTGCATTGTGTAGGCACCCTCTGCTCCATCACAGACACTCAAAAACAGTTTGCAGAGCTGTTATTAAAATATGCTGCAGGAAGCACATGTTAAGAAATGTGGACAATTAAGTGAGAAGACAGCTGCCAAACTCCTGACATAATCACCACAACAGATGGGATGTGTTTTACAGTAGATGGAGGAGGGCACAGAGATGAAGTGTGGCACCAGTGCAGAAGCTGCCTGAATAGCAAAGACAATAGGGAAAACTCTATTAACAGTTGGGAGTTCAAAGGGAGCTGTCTGCATTTTAAAGGCTATAGGGAATAATTATTAGATTGGCAGCTACAGGATAACACACACAGTGCAAGGTGCTGTGCTACCTACAGTTCGAGAGAGTTTTCTCTTCCAGCTTATCACAATTTTAGCAGAAGAGCCTTTGGCTTGCTCCTTCTGCTGGGCAAAGCTCTTCAATGGCCTGCAGGCATCCCACGTATCGACCAAATTGCATCTTTTCTGCAAAGCTTGTTCTTTCTCTCCCAAGTTTGCACGTTCCAAGACCCATGGATCTTCCCCGGCAAAAGCTTTTCCTCCTGGATGCAGTCAGCCCTCCAACCTGCTGTGCTCTTCTCCCTCTCAAGCCACTCATCACTTTGGTTACAGAAGGAAAGAATCATCTTTCTCGAAAAAAAGGACTCATTCATGTTTCTTTGCCTGGGACTTCCCCCAATTAGCACAAAGCCAAAGCTGTTCCACAGGGCACCACAGGATTTACCCTTAACCTCAGTCCCCAGGGCTTCCCTCTCCCAGCTCACAGATGGTGCCTTCCCAAACCTTCTGCCTCACGGATGCAGAGAGCCCCTTACAGAGGCATCTATGTGTATTTGGCAAACTAAGAAACAGGCTGCTTTCCTTCTTGGATCTCCTTTTTGTCAGTCCTTATAGAATTGGCTGTGGCTGAACTTTGCTGCAGAAGCTGCACTTGCTTGTGAATTAAGCCTGAAAAAGCAGAACAGGTGCTGGGCTGGAAGTAGGCAGGTGGAGCAACAGTAGGTCCTAAACAGCACTCACTGCTTTTTGCCTACAATCACGCTCAAACTCTGTGCAAAAAAAAAAAAATTATACTTCGGTTAAAAACAGATTGGAAAAAACCGAGCACATTTGGATTCTAAAAGCACCACAACGACTCGAACACATGAGCCATCCATCTCACAGATGTAAAATGAATACTGATTGCACACCGGGATTGTGAATGCCCCCGCGTTCCAGAGACACCTTTGCAAATGAGCATCTGTCTGGAGCACCGCAGGGCACGAGGGCAGCACGAATGAAAGGGTCTCAACACGCAAAGCAACGTTGTTCCTTTGCTTGTGTGCCTGGCTGGATGTCCTTGGAGGATACCTGTGCTGACGGAGCACAGTAACAGAGCATCCAAGAAAATCACTTAATTGACCTACGGTTGCCCAGTGCTTGCTAGGAGACTGGGGAGAAAAAAAAAACAAAACCCACAAACCACAACACACCAGGATGTCTCCTGTGGTTTGGCAGCTTCATTGGCTAGGGGAGGATTGAAGAGAAGTGAAACTACGAAATAGGAACAGCACACTAAAATCAGGAGAAAAAAAACAATTGCAAGAAAGTTCAGGGAACAGCTGTTTCCCAAAACCTTTCTGCAACACTTTTAAAGTCTAAACACACTGAAATACTCCCCGAAGTGCTATGCAGGTTGGAAGATGTTAATCAGTCCCAGAAGTGATCAAGCCCTGCTGCAGGGAGAGAGTGATCCGTGTGTAACCACATTCCCCCTCCTTCCGTGGCAGGCTGCTATTGGAAGGGCTATCCTTCCTCTTTAACCTTCAGCCTGAAGAGAAATACAAGCAAAGAGTGATATGAGCTCCTTCTTGGGAGCATGTTGAAAGCCAGCCAAAAAGAAAAAAAAAAGTCACATCTCACTCTGAACTGCTGTAGCACCTGGTTGCCAACCATTTGCCACAGTACCTACATTTTACAGAGTCTATTTTCCGCTCCCAGCCTCACCCCACTGCGTCCCACGGGGAAAACTCACACCTACCTCTGACACCCACAGAGCCAGCTGTGTTCCCGTTCAAAAATAGTTTTCTGAAAGCTGTTCTGAAATTATTTTCTAAGGGACACTATCAGAGGTGGGTTTATTTCTTGGTGTTAACAGCCTTCTGAACCGCCTCCCCCAAATTTCCTTAATTATCAGGCAAGCCAGCACTATAAAGGCTCTGGAAACAAACTAAACCTTGTATGGGAGCTCCCAGAGCTTAAGAGCAGTATCTTTTTAAATCTTTTCAGTTGGAAACATTTCTTATCGAAATAGCAACTATGATGTTTATCATTAGCTGCATCAGTAGCTGCATCACCCCGAGACAACAGAAGCACCTTCATTGTTTCTCAGCCCACTTGTTGACGACACCACAGCATTTAAAGGCCAAATCCCAGGTTCCAGTTTCTAAATTTAGATGGAGTTGAGGGACAGCTGTAATTACACATACATTTATCCATCCTCCTCACAGTGCATTTTCCAGGTACAAAGTCATCCCAAGATGCCATCCGGATTCTCTGCAATACAAATAACCCCCCATTTGACTAATAAGGGCAGCTTCCATTTCAAGAGGAGATTTAGACCACCACCATGGCTCTGGATCCAGATCAAAGCACTGGGTAGACAAGAAAGACTATAAAGGAAGGGTGGAAACAATAATAAAAATCACCATCCCGAGATGAATAATTCCAGAGGGAAAGACAAACGAATACTTTGAAACTCACAACACCAATTCCTCAAAACCTCTCCGAACGTTTCTCAAGTATATGATGAAGAGTCAATCAGCATGGCAGCTGGACAGACAGATGCTCATATGTCTTACCAGCAGGATTTTAATAATTAACTCAGGCTGGGGGTTGCAGGAAGGAGTATGTCTCACACTCGAGTAGATGGGGAGAAGCTTAACATGTCATTTCAAACACAGTTTAGAAACTTCAGAGATAGCTCCCAACAATTCCTCTAATCAAATGGCCAGATGGACAAAGAGAAAGGAGGGAGACAGAACAGGAACGTCAATCTGGAAATTCGGCTGCGAGCCTCACCGTGGAGCAGTGGTGCAGCACTTTCAGAGAGAGATGCTGTAAGTGTGCTCAGAACTATGAGCAGAACAAGTCAGCAAGGCAACGCTGCCAAAAGCTGCTCAGAGGCGTATCACCATCTCCCTGCTGGTGCTGAGAAGCAACCCTTCCAGTCCAGACTGCTGCATCTCTTGCCTGCTCACTGGGAAAGCACTTCCAGGAAAGCTGGCACAGGCTACACACTTAGGGAGGCCCTTGCAGCAACAAGGGAAGTGCTTTCTTAAACACTGATGCTGATCCATTTGTATCTGGCCACCTAATGAAGTTCTGCTCTGCCACATTTCACACTCTTCTTCCCACTAAGAGATTGCAAGATAAAAAGTGACAGGATAGAAAAATAGAAATTGGGCCAGTTTAGTTCTTCCAAGAAGTAGAGAATAGATTCATAGGGCAGGAAAGAACATTTTCCTCCTCAATAAAAATAACTCAGCATAGTTATAACTAGTACTTAGGAGGCAGACAGATAGTAAGTAGTTATAGCTACCCTGAGCAGGGCTGGCCACAATAGCCATTCTCAGGGTTTCCATAGCCAGGAGAGACCAGGCACTGCTGGAGGAACCTGGAGGATAAAGGAGTGCTTCAGGAACTGATGTGAAAGACAGGAGAAAAGAGGGGGCAAGAGACAGCAAGCAGACAACCCAAAGGAGGAAAGATGCACTGGAGGAGTGGCTGCTTGGTGAAGGAAGGCAAAGAGCTGGCCCCAAAAGTGCAATTCCACAGCCACGCACCTACCGGTCCATATTCTAGTAATGACACTGAGTTTACAACACGGGGGTAGTCTCTTAACCCCTTTGCCAAATTGCTTATGAGCTGACGTGGGTCATTACCTTGCAGACTCCCCAGCCGTGGTGCCCCTAGTTTCTGTTCTTTAGTTCACTGGGCACCCAAAGCAGGTGGGGGGGGGAAAGAACTAGTGCCCGTGCTCCGCCACACTTCTCTGCTCTTATCCCTCACCGCTGTGAAACCAGATCTGGGCACCAGAGCACAAAGAATAATTTGCAGTGAGTGCACGTAACCATTTCCTCATTTTTTCGATTCTCCAGGCTTTTCCTAAACTTGTTTCAGCAGAAACACTTGGCTCCTTCCTGCCCTTTCTCACCCCACCTGAGTTACCACCCATCTCAGCTGCACTGGGCTGTCATTACCAGCCACCAAGTTCACAAACTCCATTCCTTCTAGCTCGCTGCCCTTTCTGCATAATTTTGTCCTGATGAATTAGCTACTGCTGACAGATCTCCCTGGCAGGCTGCCCTTGTCAGGAACACAGAGGGGTGAGCATGGGGCTGGCAGGGATGCTGCACTCTCCCACATGCTCACCAGGAACCACAGAGGAAACAGCACCTGAAGACCTTCCTTGGAGCTATCAGCACAGCAACAGGCCTGTTTGAAACACTCCCCAGCATATTCATGCTTAGCCTAGTAGTTAATGAGTTAGTGTTTCCCTGACCAGCTTCATCAGCCTCACTCCACCAAAGCTCTTCTAACATTTGCAATCCACCTGCTTACTGCCAAGCTAAGTACAAGCTTTGACTTCTCACCAGGAACTAAAGGGCAGCTTCATCCCCAGGGCCCCGAGGGCACACAGATGTACCTGCTCCTCTGCAGCATGGCTGCTGTTAAGCCCCAGCTGATGCTGCCCTGTCCTTGCCCCCTCCAGCAGTCTGTCCAACACTTGCTTATCCAGCCCCAGGTGTCCTTCTGGGGTCTGATCCCAAGACTGGAGGGATCAATAAGACCCTGCAGATGTCAGCTGGCTTTGGATCAGGTTCCTAGAGATGCAACAGGAGAGCAATGCTACTCTTGAGTGCAGCCCACAAAGCACCATGCTGTCCTACAGAAACATTTCCTGTTTCAAGAGTATCTTTTGTCCCCATGTGGAAGCAAAGGGTTTGTTTTGCCATTATAGAGCCAAAGAACTTCAGTGAAAGGGGAGAGGGAGGAAATAAAGCAGCATCATGAGTTTTTTTTCCCCTTACAACACTGCCTTTTTAAATGAAAAAACCCTCACGAAGAACAGAGGCAAGGTTGTAAAGGATATTGCCACCAAACAAGCACAACTACTCTGTTGTTTTTAGCAGTTGCCACCAAACTACCACCATGAATTTCTCACTGCAGCGCTGGGGGGAAGGCCACCGAGTTGATAACAACTTACACCGCAGCCTGATTCTATAAAAAAAAAAGTCCCCAATCCCAAGTGACATCCTGTAGGCTAAATAAAGAGTCTCTGTGTGCTGGCTTTGCTAAAACGAGCCGCAGCACAGAGCAAGGCTGAGACACAGCTCCTCCGTAGTGGAGAAAGCGGAGTTTGCTGTGCTGTCGGAATTGCGGAACGGCAACGCAACGCGTGGCAGGGCTGGTTGGGATTAGTAAACGTGAGTAATCAGCTGGCTGGAAGCAAACACTGGCTGTCGGACAAACTCCCAGAGCAGTTTATCAAGCCAATATTTCCCCCGCAGAAGGGAGCCTTCAAATAGTTACATAAAATTCTTCTTTAGTTGGTCACGGCCAACACTGAGATCATCTCAGGCTGAGCTCTCAGACCATGAGTAATCACTGGTTTGGGCAAGAACTCTCTCAAAGTTTCTATGGATAATTGAGAAGGGAAATGGAGATTAATTGAGGAATTAGGAACTTACATTTTCTTATCTGCAAAGGATTTACTCTGTCACTCATGACTTGCTGTAGGCCTGATAAAAAAACCATAGTGCAGTTCCAATTATGACTGCAACTTAGATGTATGACCTGGGAATTTAAGCCTGATGTAGAGTGCTCCGAAACAAACCTGTATCCTATAATCACTCTGAGCCTGCTGAGCTACAGCAGCACTTAGTAATTCATTCCTTACAGCCCAGGCTTAATTTAGGGCCTGCCTCCCATTTTTATTATTCCTGACTCACCTCCTATTAAGCAGCCAGCAATACTTATCTGGTCTTCACAGAGCTTCATAAATTAACTCACAACACCCCTGGCCAAGAGCCATGAATAACTACCACTGTGTTTAAGAAGGAAGAATTAAGACAGAGAAGCCACATCACCTCCGAGGCCGCATCCAGAGGGGATGCACCAGCCTCCTCAGCATCCCTTTGCTTTGATCTCTCTTCAGCAGAGAGAAAAACCTTCCCCAAAAGGTGAAACAGGAAATATTTTGCCTGAAGTGGCAACAACCAGGTACCTACCCTGCTGCTGAAGGGCACTAGGTCTTCAGCAGGGCTGGGAGGTAAAAAGACATCAAGAGCTGGTTGGGTATGGAATTACAGCAAAGTCCTTGGTCCAAGCCAGCTCGAGTCCCTGCTGTAGCTCTTCTCTGGGACAGGCTGGCAGAGAGCACACTCACTGCTGCAGGACCTCCAACTCATACACCTTCTTCCCAAGGTGTTTATCAGCTCACAAGAGGATCAGCTGTAATCTCATTAGCTCACAGCCTTCCTCAGCCACCTCTGCATCACGGCTGAGAATTAGCCTGCAAAGCCCATCTCCCCCAGGACAGCTCCGTGGCCAGGCTTGCTCTCACCTTCAAAAAGCAAACACACTCTGCCTGCTGCAAGGGCAGGTTCATTCCAGCCACCACCTGCACCAAACAGCAAAAGGGCTACAGAAATCAGAACTAGTGCCTCATTTTTACCATATGATCAGCAGCACTCCTGCACCCCCTAACAAGACAGCCCTCTCCATAGGCAAGAGGGCTGGACCTGCCCCTGGGCAGCCCCCTGCCACCCACATCACTCCCTCCCTTGTCTCCCAGCCAAGCTCCCTCCCTTCGATGCAGAGCCTGAGCACTCACCCATAAAGCTCTTACTCACCTTTGAGAGTCCTCCCACTTCTAAGTAAAAGCAGATGATGAAGATGTTCCAGGTAACCCAAATTGCAGTCCAGATGGCATACTGGAAGGGAATGGAGGGGAGAGAGAAGCAATAAACATTAGGAAGCCACTGGAATTAGTTTATATATATGGGATGCAGCTGGAGGCAGTTGATGCCCTGAGTCAGCACTGCAATGGTTTTCTTTTCCTCCGTTTGTTTCCCAGATGCAGATGGTCCCTTCCCTGATCGGAGACACAGGGGCAGAAGTTTGGAGGGAGTGGAAGAGCTTCTGTCATGTGTTCCAGCACCTAGTTCTCCCCATCTGTTGTGCAGCATCTCGGTGTTACTTTGGCACCAGTAATAATTATCCGACATCTCCCAAGTTTGGAGGAAGCCCAGTGAAAGTGCAGCACACTGAACAAACGTGTTCCTACGTGCAGCACCTCCTGCTCAAACTGTTTACAACGCTCACGCCTGACTTCCCAAGGGCTTTACTCAGTTCCTCATCATTCACTGTGTCCCACCAGAGCAAAGGCTCCGAACGGAGCGGCCAGTACTTACCACCACGATGTAGCGAGGTCTGTACTGAATAGTGCCAAAGAGGCCGAGGATGACAATGATGATGTGGAGGAAGTTGGCGAGGATAGGGGCCCACTGGTATCCCAGGAAATCAAACACTTGCCTCTCTAATGCAGCAAGCTGGAAGGGAAAAGGAGAAGGAGAGTTACAGCCCCTGGGCTCGTGATGTTTGTTCTCAAGGTTTTGACGTGCTCCCGGAGCAAATCACTGCAGGAGCTGAAGATGTTACTCCATTCCCAAAGCAATTTACTGCCTACGAGCCAGGTCAGTAGGACAGAACGTGTGTCTACACTCTCCTATCCCACTTTGTGCTCGCGCTGTCTCCTCTGATGACTGAGCTAACGCAGACCAGTGAGCTCCAGTGCCCGGGCGGGACACGTCCTCTGTTTTGGGTACTTTGCCATGGGGGGTGGCCCTGGCAGAGGGCAGGGGTGAGAGCAGGACGGTGACATCTCAAACAACTGCACCAGGACTTTCAAGAGCTCATTTCTCAGAGCCTTCAGCATCACTCCATCATTCCTGACACCTCCTGTGTTTCTGCTCTCCGGCACCCATCCATCAAAGCGAGAAAGAGGAGCAAACTCTCTCCTCCACCTTCCCCCCACAGAAAATGCCACCACTCAGCAAAGAAATTCTGCAAACACATCGGTTTTCCAGGAGGACAGGCTGTGCTTCTCTCCAGCACTAATAACAGGGTTCAAGGCTAGTACTATGTTCTAGAAATAAAACTCCTTTACTGTTGAAGGACTGGGCCTGATTTTCAGATCATATTTGCGTGAAGACGTGCTTTTCATCTGTACCCATCAGCTGTGTACCAGGCAACAAGTCACCTGGATCTGAACTGCCACGATACGCACGCAGCTGAGAGCGCAGTCAACGTGTCGTTGCACGGTAGCCTTTACATCCCCCCCCGCCCTCAAATAGTATGTCTATAGGTGAAACAGCGAGGGGAGGGGGCAAAACAGTTCTGCAGGTTTTTCACCAGCGCCCAGCCTTGTGCAGAGAGATCTCCTCTGTGCTTGTCCTCCCTAACGCAGTGCCACCAACCTCCCCCCGCCGGCCCGCGGCTTTGCTAGTGCTGAGGCACCGCAGATTTCCCTGCCAAGGCAAGATTCCCAAGTGTCTTTAAGTACCATAGTAGTACGCCGGGACTGCATTATGACGTTTCATATTTATTTTCACCTAAACAGGCTATTTACCATCGATAGTCAATATTAACTTAACTACTCATTGGACATTAACCATGGATGATCCTAGTCCGCTGCGCGTCACCAGCTATGTGACATCTTCTGGCTTGGCTTTTCCATGGCAGCTGGGAACCCAGAACTGGAGTGTCTGTCATGGCTCAGAGCATTGAAGGACGTGAGCAGCTGCAGGTCCCTCTCAAGCCACACGACAAGGGAAGCCACCTCTCTCAAATGACCGTTTTTCCTGGATCAGTGAGGAAATCCCCTTCGCACCTCTCTTGGGCTCGGAAGGCACTGCAATTCTCAACACTACCTTGGAAGTTCAACAAAAAATCCGCGTTACGAAGAAATCTATAGCAGCCCTGGCTAAGGGAGATCAATCAGCGAGGTGATGAGCTCGTCTCCCTCTCTGACATCTCTCATCACTGGCGAAGGGGCGCAGAGAGAGTGGGGAGGGGATGGAAGCACTCTCCAAATCTGTCTCTTCTGTGAAATAATTAGTCTTCCCATTTGAGGCGACGCACACCACCCCGTTTCGATCGATGGGAACCGCCTGGAAGATGCGGCGAGATGTGCCACACGGCCACACGCAGGGTTCCGGGGCTGGCACAGGGCACGCACCGCTCGTTTCACCCTTCGGCCACCTCTGCCCCCCCCCAGCACGGCAGATTTGCTGTATCTCATCAGAAACAGCAGTAATAGGTTAAGCACTTAATCTTTTAGGAGGGGATTAACGCACATGCCTTAACGATATTTGGAAATTTGGGATGCTGACTGGCTGGCGACGGGTCACTTGACTGTGACTGCTTCATCCAATCAGGCATTTAATTGGCTTTGTGCGTTGCGTTGATGCGGGAGCGCGTGCCGCACAGAGCATCGCTCAGCCCAGGGGGCACAACGAGGGGTGTTCTGCAGAGATAACGCCCTGCTCAGCTTCGCCTCTTGCCTTCGAGGCCCTGAAAAGGGGGATAAAGACAGGTCCTTCCCGCCCATGTCTTCTGCCGTGAGTTTCCCCACTCCACATTCAGGGCATCCATGTCTGGAAAAGTGTTTTCTTCTCACAAATGAACAATTGCTATCAGGGCTAGATAAAAGGAGAAAGCGTGTCCTTCTGCAGCTTCGTGATGTTTCCTGGCTTGTTTGGCCCAGGGAAAACATGGATCTGTGAAGTGAGAGGTACCCAACCGTCCTGGAGATGGACGTGCCAATCTACGCTGACTTCAGATTGGGGCACAGCTCCTAGAGAGGTCTCTGGTCCTTGGCCACACTGGATTTTTCCCCATGACCCCAGAAGTTAGCTTCATATCATACTTCCCGTTGCCTTACTGCAATTGTCCTTGTCTCCAGGTTTTTTCTTTTCTGATTTACCACTTTCTTTGCCACTTTCTCTGCACTTTTTTATGGTTTTGTGTCCCTGGGAGCTGCAGGCGTGACTCAGCTGGTAGAGAGATGGGCCGTGCCTGTCTGCAGGCTCAGCTAAGGCAGCAGGAGCTGGGGCAGTGTGCTTCTGTGTGATGTGCAAGCTCAGGCAGGCTGTTTCCTCATTTATAAAATAAAAGCAACTCTCTGTAAGACGTGTTGATGACAAGTGCAAATGCTACTGATGAGACTCCAACAGTGACGTGGACATAGTGCATCTGTGCTGCAATCCAGAAACACAGCCTGAAGTCACCCTGGGCTTGTCCCTGCTCCTCCAGGAACCTAGCATAATTGAGAAAATATTTGCTAAAAACAAATAGATAAACAACCCTTTCACTCATTACACTACAGGTCTGTGCAAAGCTTACTCATTAAAGGCTGCTGAGATTTGCAGGTAAACGGGGCTGATGTTTGTGCTAAGCTGGCCTTGATTTGGGGTTGGGATGTGAAGAACGTCGTGGAACCCTCCAGTCCTGGTTCCTTCAGTCTGGCTCAGAAATGGCAGGGTCAGGGTTTGCCCCTGCCTAGGGGTACCGATACATCTGCCCCCCAGTACTGAACCTCTCTTGGCTGCCTCTTGTTGAGCAGGGGAAATGCCATCTTTCTCTGCTGCTGCCACGCTTCTGCAGAGTAATATCCTTGCTGCAGCGTTCTTTACGATGATTCACACTATTCTATTGAGAAAGCCTATTATATTCCAGAGATATTGGTTGTAAAGAGAAATTTCACAGATTGTGGCACAGGTTTCAACCCATTCAAAGCTGACAGGACCTTTCCATCAGGGAGGACAAATTTTTCTTCTTTATAACTATTCTTATTAAAAACAGGACTCCTTCTGCTCCCCTTGCTTCCCTAGCCCATAGAACATTTTTACCTTTCATTCTTTAAATGAAATGATTTGTTGCAGTACTAACATCGGAATAGCGGTGGCAGACTTTTCTCTCCTAAAATAAAACACATTTCTGCTGATCTGAGTGAAACTGGAATAGCAAATTACTGTGTGAAGCAATTGTTAGCCAGGCAAACAAAACAAGCCAAAGCTCTCTGTTGGGCCATCATTCATTCATACGGCTGGGAAAGATAAAGGCAGAGAAGATGTTCTGCAGTTTACAGAGAGTCCTATCACAGTGAGCAAAGGCTGTGACAGGCAGCACGATGGGACATGCTCAAGGTCTTTACACCATCAAAACTTCACCAGGGAGAGAAGCTGTACCTGAGCTGGAGGGGAGGATTGCCCGATGGAGCCTGCTGCAGAACAAGAGAAAGGTTTTAGAAAACATCTCAAAATCTGAAACGGTTTCTTGTTGGAGGGTTCAAACCATTCCAGCTGCATTTCCGATGCCTCTGGCAGGACAGTGTCACTGGTGGATGTTGATGCCAGCAGGACACTCCAAGCTGATTCAGCACAGGCTGGGGGGGTGCTTGTTTAAATTCTGGTCCCCCAAATCTTTTCTATCCCAACAGCCCCATCTTCTGTTGCTCCTGTCAGGCTGATAAGCTGGAGAGTCCAACCAGTTCCCCCTGTGCCTGCACACGGCTAAGGAAGCAGGGATGCTGATGGACAAGTCAGAGTTACCTGTAATCCTTTAACTCCCTGGCCTTTGTAGCCTGCTATCAAGGCCCCGTTATCAGCTAGATTTGCTCCTCTTGGTTTATTAAGCTTTTAAAGCCTTTAATCTTATTTGGTCTGGATCTGTGTCTTTCACTGCATTTCTGAAATCAATGGGGACACAAAATAACAAATATCACTTTCAAGGTGTTGACAGGACTCGTACAGCTGCAGGAAAGATGCTCGGAAAGCCCAATGACAGGTACAGATGGGCAAAGAGGATGAGCTGCCTGCACACATACACACCTCCATCTGAATCAGTTCCAAGCAAACCTGCCTTTACACTTTCCAAGTTCAGCTTTAATAAGAGATTTCTTTTTTAAAATTAAATGTTACAAGTAAATTTACAAGCATGCAACAAATGGAGCAAATGGGCAAGGCGGATCCTACTGCTACGGGCCAGCCAGGACTTAAGGGAGATAATGCTGCAAAAAAGAAGAAAAAAATTTTACCCAGAAACCTAGACAATTTTCCACTTGGCCCATAAAAAACCAACTTGAAAATTCTGGTTTTCCCTTGTCTGTCACTGCTCCGAGGACACATGGTCGCACAGACTGCTGAGGCTCCTGCACTTGTTCAGCCGTGTCCGCAGCTGCCTCGGACCCCGGCGTGCGTATCTACAGCTTGGACACACAAAATTTGCAACATAAACCCCTATATTTACTTTTTCTCCAGCCTGAACTGAGAAGGAGCCTCAGCTGCAGCCCTCGGTCACCACCGCGCTGCCGTGATGTTCGGGGCTGCCTGGCTGGTCCCCGACGCGGCGATTCAGCGCTTGATTTCCTGCCAACTGGCTTTGCTTTTTAAGAAGATGCTTCTTTGTTCGTCTGCTGTGCAAACACCCGCGGAGCGGCCAAGACTTTCACTGAAAAAGGTCATGGGTCTTTTCTGGGGGAAAAACTTGCACTGATTTCCTGAGGTATTTTGGCTATGCAATGG